ACTTCTTTTGACCTTTTCAAAGTTCAATATCAATCTTTCAAAAAAGAATGTTAGCAAAGGTTCAGGACATTCAAGGTCTTGCTTGTGTATCATATGTTTTGGACACAATCATTTCAGCTGCTATTCCACAGTCCCTGGAATGAAGCCACAGTCTGTTGTTTTCCTTTAGCACCTACACCCATCCACCTTGTGGGTCCACTACTCAGAGAAAGCGGAGTCTGCCAGAACGGTCTGACTTTTAGACAGCTGGAGCTTAGTTGAAACGTTAAACTGAAGGAGTAATAAAAGATGTGAAAAATCTACTGAAAATGCTAAAATGTATTGCGCATGTATAACTCCCTTGTTTGTATTTAGCAAATTTTGGTCCTACATTAGATTAGTATTGGCAGCAAATTACATTTACAGTTGAATTCTGGAGAAATACGTAGAAGGCTGAAGTGGAAGGCAGATCTGTGTTTGAACATGGGCCTGTTCGAAAGCAGGAATAATGCTGTTCTCATTATTCAAGAAGAAACAACCCTTCCTAGCAGTCCTACAGAAGTTTATAGATCTGAGGGCAGAAAAATAGAAGCCTGTGTTCATCACAGCTGGCATTTATCACAAAAAATAATTCCAGAATGAAACCAAACAATCATTTAAATAATTCCAGACTGAAACCAAACAATCATTAATAATTGGATCAGCATTCATTGGATACAAACTTTCCATTGTTACAATAATTCCAGGCAACATCAGCTTCCATTGTTACCATAATTCCAGGCAACATCAGCTTGTTTAATTCTATAAGCTTTATGTATCTATATTGCTTCTATGCTCCATATACATAAAAGACTTCAAAAAGTAACAAGTCAAAATGTATCGAAGACAGTCTTACAGCTATGAGGTAAGCTGTAGGCACAAATACTTTAAAACTCCTTCGTTACAACTTGTAAAAAGATGCAGGTACTAAAACTAGGGTTGTAGACAGATTTTAAGTCGTATTTGAATTCAAAACACAGGAGCAAAAGCACAATTAAAATATCAAAAATAATGTTGTACATTTCATTTTAACAATGCAAGAGCTTATAGCCTAAAAAAGGCAAATACAGTATAAAAACAAAAGACAGATAATATATTTCTGTAACACATCATTTAAAAGTGAAAAAGCATTAGGTAAAGGTAAAGGTAAAGGTTCCCCTTGACAATTTTTGTTCAGTCGTGTCCGACTCTAGGGGGCGGCGCTCATCCCGCTCTTCAAGCCATAGAGCCAGCGTTTGTCCGAAGACAATCTTTCCGTGGTCACATGGCCAGTGTGATTTAGACACGGAACGTTGTTTACCTTCCCACCGAGATGGTCCCTATTTATCTACTCGCATTTGCATGCTTTCGAACCGCTAGGTTGGCGGGAGCTGGGACAAGCTAACAATGCAAGAGCTTATAGCCTAAAAAAGGCAAATACAGTATAAAAACAAAAGACGGATAATATATTTCTGTAAAACATCATTTAAAAGTGAAAAAGCATTACTTTTAAATAATCTTTCATCTTCCTTAAAAAGCATGGGAGATGGTCCCTATTTATCTACTCGCATTTGCATGCTTTCGAACCGCTAGGTTGGCGGGAGCTGGGACAAGCGACGGGCGCTCACTCCGTCGCGTGGATTCGATCTTACGACTGCTTGGTCTTCTGACCCTGCAGCACAGGCTTCTGCGGTTTAGCCCACAGTGCCACCATGTCCCATTAAAAGCATTACTTTTAAGTAATCTTTCATCTTCCTTAAAAAGCATGGGAAAATATCAAAGTTGTTAAAAGTAAAAAAATATATAAAGTAAAATGCATTACTTATCCTCGAAGCATGTTAAGAACATACACAGGAAAAAAAAAATACATGTTCTAAATGTTCACCCTGCCAAATCAATTAAAGCCTATGGATAAAAATCCATGATGTTTTCTCTGTGTCCAGCTGCTCTGCTACATGATAGTTGTTGATATCCAGCATGTGTAACCCAGTGTTGAACTGTTTTGTTTTGATGAGGTGAATGCCTTGTGCATGTGTATTCTATCTTCCCGTATTTATAACTCTTTAAGCTTTTTTCACTTTCTCCGTGTATGTGAACAAACCTTATCTGCAGGGCCAGCATGTTCCTGGAAGTCCAGGAAAAAAATGGACAATTTTATGGTGCCCCCAATTTTTGTGACTCTAGGGGTCTACTATTTCATATTTGACAAACCAGCATTATTTTGTTTTTCATTCTAATTTTGTATATTGCTTTTACAAACTTCTAGATTTCTAATAATCTGTAATTCTAAACCCTTAGACTAATAAGACCTTATTACATTAAGCTTTTAGAACATTAGATCATTACAAACTTGATCTATTATGATCGCTAGTAGGGTGTACTACTAGCACTATTTTTATATTTTCACCATAAACAATTATACTCATTGCATCATTCAACCTTTAGTTTACTTCCATGCTAAACTAGTAGACATGAATGAAATTCTTCAAACCAGTGTCATTGAACTTGTTCTCAGGATTAACTGGAAAGCAGCCGATTGTTTTGAAAAGCAGCTGATTGTTTAGAAAGGCAGTGTAAACTATTGCTCCAATCTGTACTCTTAAATATACTTTAATTTTCATGGCAACTTTTTCTACACTCCCTTTAATTGTTTTAATACTTCATAAGCACAAAATATTAAATGTTGACTGATGGATTCAAGCTCCCTCACTTAGATGTGATTTTTGCTTGAAATACCAGTCTGTCATCCTCCAGTTTCTATCTAATGGTAAAAATCTAGGTTTAAATCAGGAGTGGACAACATGCAGCCCATGGGTTGCGTGCAACCTGCAAGACTTCACATAAGGCCCCCAGTGTCCCCCACATTTCCCCCAAATGATTTAATATTAAGATTTTTAAAAGTGACTCAAAAAAGCCTTGTGCTCTCTAAAACATTTTCACATGTTTTAAGGTTCCCCAGTTCATCTGCTTCTAATTTTATCTCATACTTTTAAAATGTTGGCTACTAAAGGTGAAAGGAAGTTTTTTCAATTTAACTCCCCCACCACCTGATTTTTTTTATAATTTGGGGATGTAGGATTTGTGGAGGTGGAGGGGTTGTTACCAGTGAATCCTTTGTCTCTTACAGTGACTAAAATCCTGTGGTAAGTTACACTGCAGTTATGAAGCGATGTAATGTGGTGCTCCTATCTTCATTGTCATCTTGTTATTAACCTTGCACATTTTCTGGATATTTGTGTGCATTGACATAATGTGGTGTCATTGTCAAAGACTTGTCATGGTAGAAGGCTTAGTGTTATGCAGCAATGCTCCCTCTATGTCCAGGCTTCTGTCTATGCTTCAACTTCTGCTTTGCTCCTTTTGCATAACTCTATTCTCTTCCCATGACCCCTTATCTATATGATAGAAGCTTGTTTAGGAAAGTAGAGCCTGTTTACACCAGGTATTCTGAGTAGAAGTTCAAGGTTAGCCACCAGGTAAAAGAGTATCCAAGCTAGATATCTCTTGTTGTGTTTAAACTTAGATATTTGGTTTTGTTATCATTTTGATCATTAATGAGATGTTTTGTTATAATTTTGTCAGTTAATGATCAGGAATGGGGAGTTAAGTCGATTCAAACTCAGCTGAGGATTTTCCCCCCCAATGGCTCGGACTCAACTTGTTTCTGGAGAAAAAAATCTTGTTTTTCTTAGAGTCTTGGAGTTGGGATTTGGGACTTTATACCAAAGACTAGGACTCAGACTTGGGATTTGGTACCAAAGACTTGGACTTGGACTTGGGACTCGGAGTTGGGACTTGGACCCAAAGACTTACCAACATCCCTATTAGTGACATGTAAACACAGAGGACTAAAGAACATAATTAATTGCTAAGCTGTATGAAGATATACAAAGCCCAGATGCCTGTCTTTGAGGAGTCTCAGTGTAGGCCTGGGTCCTAGAAGTGTGTTGAACTCCTATTGATTCCAGGGGTCACCTGCTCTCAGTTCTCCAGGGACTCCTTGCAAGCAGAAAGGTTATAAGGTTAATATTTCTATGTATTTTGCTGCTTTACTGTTCATGTTTTTTGTTCTTTAATAAAGTTGGCTCATTAGAGTATTCGTTGTCTCCAAATCGTAAAAGAATCTCTTGTCAGCCTTGGTAAGCCATATAGCTGTGCAGTATCAAAGATTTCTTCTATGATGCAGTCCCAGCTGAGCTAGCATCCGTGCAATTCATTTGATTTTATTTGGATAATACCAGTTAGTTTCACTGAACTGCAGCATTGTGATGCTCTTACACTACTTGGACTGACAGTTAAATAATCATAGGTTTCAAATACTAGTATAGGTAAAGGTAAAGGTTCCCCTTGACATTTTTAGTCCAGTTGTGTCCGACTCTAGGGGGCGGGGCTCATCCCGTTTTTCAAGCCATAGAGCCAGCGCTTGTCTGAAGACAGTTTCCGTTGTCGTGTGGCCAGCGTGACTAGGGAGCGCCGCTTTACCTTCCCACTGAGGTGGTACCTATTTATCTACTCACATTTACATGCTTTCAAACTGCTAGGTTGGCGAGGAGCTGGGACAAAGCGACAGGAGCTCACTCTGTCACGTGGATTCGATCTTATGACTGCTGGTCTTCTGACCCTGCAGCACAGGCTTCTGCGGTTTAACCCACAGCACCACCACGTCTCACTAGGTCATTTGGAAGTAGTGAAGAAATTGTATACTTGCTTTTTACCAAAGCAGGTGATTTTGTTTATCACCATAAGGAGCTGCTGTAACTAGACATATGCACAAAATCCTACCATTAATACTGTTACTTTGCCTCTGTGGAGTGTGAACCGGTATTTGACTTTTTAACCACACCGTCTGCTGAAAGAATGTTAATCTTATGGTATTCATTCTGGGTGGTCTTTGCAAAAACAGTTTAAAAAGTGCAAAGTGCCATCTAGATCAGAAGAACATGACTGGGTCATCAGCTTATTAACTCTTAACCTGAGATACTGTTGTTTTTTCCTCTTTGTAGCAAATACTGCTTCATGCCCGTGAAAATGCTACCAAGGTGATATTTCTTATTACTGATGGCTATTCAAATGGAGGGGATCCCAGGCCCATTGCGGCTTCCTTGCGTGAATTTGGAGTGGAGATCTTCACATTTGGGATATGGCAAGGCAACATCAGAGAGCTGAATGACATGGCTTCTCACCCCAAAGAGGAACATTGCTACTTGCTCCACAGTTTTGCAGAGTTTGAAGCTTTAGCTCGCAGAGCGCTTCATGAAGGTATTATATCGATTTCTGTGAAATGTTATTGTAGCCTTCTGGATATTGACATTTTAAAACAATGTGTTGATACTTCATCATTTATCTGAATTATAAATTTACCATTGGCTTTAGCATTAATTAGCAGGTTAACGGAAAAACAAGACTGGAATATATAAATGCAGTATTCCTAATACCAGACATAAGAAAATGGAATGTGAAGTTTGTAAGCACCTTCAATTTCCTCTGAAAGTGAGATGGTGGCTTTGAAGTAAAAACCCAATAGGCTTTTAAAATCAGGACCTTCTCCAGATGTTAAATGAAGAAAGAATTGGTGTGTGTGGATATGAATCTTTGCCTTGTACTTACTTTCTGCTTGTTCAGTTTTGCATTTGCACAGGGCCTACATGTGCACACCGGAAGGATCTACTGTGTTTCTTTATGTCCAAGTGTATGTGTGTAGGATTTGGATAGTAGATACAATTGTAATTTTACTCCTCAATTTTCTTTTATTAAATTTATTACTCAATTGATGTAGAATATGTGAGATGTGAAGAAGGTGAATACAAAGAAGTACCGTACATGTAGGATAATACTAACACATTAACGCAATAATCTTAGAACTGCAGAGCTGGAAAGGGCCTTATGGATTATCAGGTCCAGTCCCTGTCAAGGAGGCCCAGTGGGGAGCTGAACCTCCCAACCTCTGGCCCCACGGCCAAATGCCTAAACCATTCAGCTATTCAACAGTTAAAACCAGTCTTAAATATAAACAGAATTCTGCATAAATGAAAGGAGTTATAGCTGCTGGCAGATCAACCAAGTCATTGCCCCAAATCCAGCTGACCAAAAAAAAAGGTAAGGCAATCACACAGATTCCCTCCCCAACTCCTGTCAATTCCTCTTCACACATTTGGGCATGTGGCTCTTTGTGCAGATGATTTCACAATCACTGGATCGTGATGTGCAACACAAAGAATGCTAGAAGGGGAAAAAAGTATCATTATCATTCTTCTGTGATTGCGTTAGTAAACAGAATTCTGGCCACCATAAAATAGATCAGGTCATAGACCATGGAAAACCTGGGTAAAAATATTTTTTTTGAAAAATCTTATTCAGGGGTGTTTTATTAGAACTGTTCTTACAGGAGGGATGGGCACAATTTCAGAAGGGGAATGTTGCGATGACATTGACACCTTGTGAGCTGCATGGGGACCATATCTACTCTGTGTCAGCAAGTATGCTGCTGTAGTGGCACCAAAAGTGATGGTTTAATTTTTTAAAAAAATACACTTGAGCTTCCAGGAGCACACATCAGATTTTTATTACTGCATGAACTGGACATCTACACAAAGCTGGAATTTTAGCCTTTGGAGGTTTTTGGAATCACAGAGTCTGCAGTTTTATTTTATAAAAACAAACATGAGGAGTTCTGGGATTTTCTCTCACACCATTAAAATTAGAATCTAGTCACAAAAATTTAGATCATGGCCTGTGAAATTCTCTTTGGCGTAATCTCGTGAAGGAACTCTGATTCATTTTCAGGGCCCTTCCTCTTCCCATACAAAATTCAAAATGGCATACATTTGTGGCTTGATTTAACATACGGATGCTCTTAGGTAGCTTACAATGTGGTGGCTGTTGTTTATTATCTATTAAAGCAGAGTTGGGCAATTTCCAGGGGTCTGGTGGCTGTACCAACTTCTCTCTGAATCTTTGAGAACTGCATCTACTCATGTAATTCCCACTACATGTAATTCTTTTTTGAAAAAAGAAAACTGATAAGGCCCCTGTACCAGGGTGAATTGATTGCACATTTGCTTAATGCATATTTTTCACACTGCATATTTTATATGTACCTTACATTGTAGTCTTCTGTAGCTTACATTAATTTCTGTGAAGGAAAATTACTCATAGAATTGGATCTTTGAAAGTTAATTCACCTGTGCAGGCCAGGAAGTAGATCACAGGCTCATTGCTATCACTGGAAAAAAAATGACTAATTTCTTCCTCCTTTGCAGCAAATGAAAAATTGGAACTTGGAACTGAATTTTAAAATAAATATCTAGGATTTGGTGATTTTCTAAATGATTTTCCCTACTTAACAATATTTTCACTTCAGTCATACTTAGTATGTCTAATGCTGTACTGTATGTTTGTGTTTTTTATTTTGAACCCCTTACCCCCTCCAAAATCCTGTTTACAGATCTGCCCTCTGGTAGTTACATTCAAGAAGACATATCTCATTGCTCCTACCTTTGTGATGGGAGAGAAAATTGCTGTGATATTATGGCAAGCTGCAAATGTGGCACCCACACAGGGCAATTTGAATGCATCTGTGAAAAAGGATACTATGGCAAAGGGCTACAGCATGAATGTGCAGGTCAGTATCACTTTTCTCCTTTCAAGATTGCTGATATAAGAGGCTAACATCTTTTAAAGCTGGTAGTGTTTTCAGTCCCGTTTACTTTAACATAAACAGACTGAATCTGTTTACAGTGGTGCCTTGTTAGACAGTTACCCCGCATGACAGTTTTTTCACTAGACATTGAATTTTTATGATTACCTCTTGTTTTTGCAAACCCTGTCAGTCATCATCTAGACTTAAGGTTTCCTCGTGCTAAAAATAATGGAGGTCTTGCGCTTATAAATGTGGAATGAATTAATGAACAGTTGCAATAAACAGACCTTTGAATACTTGCATAACTGTATGTATACACTAATCAGAGAGCTAGAATTAGCCGTGACTTGTTTGTGTTAAATATGAAAGCTTTTCAGCCGTAACAAAGCACCATCAGTGTTCACTTCTCAGTTCAGCTGTATTTAGCTCTTGATGGTGTATTGTTTCCATTTTTGTGGAAATGGAGTGAGAGTTCATCCACATTATTTTAATTTAAATGTTAAACTGGGTTTTTGATCATAGCTCAGTGATACAACATATGTTTTGCATACAGGGGTTTGATTCCTGGTATTCCACATTGGATTGCTGGCATTCTCAGTTAAAAGTATCAGATAGGAGGTGATGTGATCCTTAAAATCTATCGCAAATCAAGGTTGACCATAGTGGGCTACTTGGATATATAATCTGGTATGCTAAAAGGCAGCTCCTTGTGTTCTTAATGACTAGAGTTAGTAAAGAAAATGGAGCTCATGCCAGGTCAAGATGATTAGGGTTTTTTGTCCTTCTGTTGTTGTGTTTTGGTAAGTGAATGGACCTCTTTAGAAGCTCTCAGTACCTGAATAAAGGGCCTATGTATAAAGGGCATGCAGATCAGGTCTGCCCTGCCTTGCACCTTGTAGGAGACATTCTAACCCACTCTGTCCCTGAGTCCATGACATTATGTAAATGTTTCTGAATGTCTCTTTTTTAAAAAGTCTGCAAATTGTTGGAGAAATGCAAACACCTATGTTTGGTAGTGCTCTGAAGCACCCTAAGTGGGTGGCCTAGTTAATCAAAGCCCATACAGCAATCACATTTCTGTAATCACATACAAATTCAATCCTAATAGTGTAATACTATAATATTTCAGTAAGGTTCAATAAACTAGGCTGAGTGAGAGAATAGAGACAAAAATAAAACTCTTACTCTGATTTGATCTGTTTTTCAACATTTGCCTAAAGACAGAGACATGGCTCTGCTGTCAGTAAGTTATTGGCACAATTCATCTGAAGATTCCAGAAATATTAATCATGAATGGCTTAAAGTGTTTGCAGGAGTAAAAATACTTATTGTTTCAGTTCCCAAAGTTCTTGTAAGTGAAATGAGAAAGTCTTTAGTTTAGCTGTTATAACTATTTGCATTAACAGTCAAACACATCTGGTGTAGATTAAGCTATAGAGTAAAGATGGCTGGTTTATGCAAATTTAATTTTCAATGTGAAATTTCTCCATTTATCTGAGTATCCAAACAAAATTAAATTTTGACTCAGCTCCACTCTGAAGCCTATAATGGGCAAGACATCAAAATCCTTATATTCATCACAATCTGCACATGTGGTTATTGTCTGCTTTTGAAGATGCACGGTATAAAATCATAAGATTTTATAGTTGCATTTAGCAATCTCCGCACTTTTTTCTTTTTTCTGTCTTTTGCAGAAACAATCAGCAGGGCATCAGCAAACAGAATTTTTAAAAGGTGGCATATGCGAGATGCCTACAAAGGTCTGCCATCTGCAGCAGATGTGCTTATTGGAGGGAAGTTGTGTGCACAAGTCATAACATTCAGCCTGAAGCGCTTAAATTAATCCTGTAAACATGATTTAATCTTTCTCAAGTCTTGCTCTATTTCTTAAAAAATAATAATTAACATATGTCCTATGCAGGGGAAGAAAATAAAATATAAGTAGGAAACTTTATACTTCGTAGTGATGATGGTGCAAGCAAGCTTAGAATGAATACTTCAGTGGCTGTTTTTATTTTTAAAGTACTGGTTTTCATTTTCAGGTTTCAGAACCTAATTTTGCAGAGTACAGTAAGAAAAGATAGCTGAGATTTAAGGACTTGCTAGGCACAAGTCCAATAAGATATTGAACTCTTGTTCTTGATCTGGGGAGTTCCTCCTTATCTATCTCTCTGTAAGATTTAACCTACAAGGGAATATACTCTATGTCCACACAATGAGAATTCCTGAGTCTGAACTAGCTGTCAAAATGTGGAGGATCTGCAGAACTGGTAGGAGAACAGGAAAAATATTTTCAGCAAAAGCACACCACTGATACTAGCTAAGGGGAAGGAGCAGCTAACTGAATCTAAGTGACACTACTGCCCCTGCCAAGGAAGCACACTTTTGTGGAAAGAGACTGTCCTTCTCACATTTGTCATTCCTCTCCAAGGTGACAGCAGCATCAGTTAGATCAAACATGGTAATCTCTTGAGCTGCTCTTTGTTTTTGAAGGGACTGTGTAGAAACCATGCTGACGTCCTATAGCAAAAATACCTTCTGTGATATGTTTGAAATTGGCAGTTATATAATGAATGTAACCTCTGGGCTTTGGAGTTGTCGCATGTGTGAATTAGTCTAGGGCCTTGATTCTACTGACCATAAGAAACACCGTTGAATTGGGTTCTTTTTTAAAAAAAAAAAGTTAAAATAAAGTGTCTCTATGATGTGAAAGGAAGCACAGATTATTTTGCCAAGGAAATGTGTGTGTGTGTGTGTGTGTGTGTGTGTGTGTGTGTGTGTGTGTGTGTGAGAGAGAGAGAGAGAGAGAGAGAGAGAGAGAGAGAGAGAGAGTGTTCAGTGTTCCAGTCTTGAGGGAGGCAAGTGAGAAAGACTGAGGAGCAGGGTTGGAGGAGCAAAGTGCTGCCTTTGAGGGGGGGAAAGGGGGGGAGGATCTGAGGCACAGAACCTCATAGGCCACATGATTTTTATGTAGGATCATCCACAAACCATTGCCGTTCTTTGGAGCCAAAAAGGAACATAATATTTTCAGGAGCCATTCCCTGGCTTCCTTCTCCTTCTAGTCCCTAGCAGCTCTATCTCTCTGTGCTTCTTTTCCTAAATGCTGCTTCTCTCTGCCTCCCAGGGAACAACAGGACCAGCCAAGGAACAGAAGCTGCCAGGCTTTCTAAAGGGAGAAGCTGCTTTGCCAGCAGACCCTCTCTGTCCTTCTCTTTTACCTCACCGCAACAGCAGGGGCAAGTGGCCAGTGTGAGGGCAGGGCAGGTGGGTTTTTAAAGGGACAAGCCGCTTTGCCAAAAGACCCACTCTGTCCTTCTCTTTTACCTCACCACAACAGCAGGGGCAAGTGGCCAGTGTGCGGGCAGGGCAGGTGGGAGCAGGACAAAGCCTCACATGCAATGATTCTAAAAGCCAATGTAGCCCCCGCAACCGAGATACAGCACAGCTGAAAAAAAGAATTAAAGGTTTTCCCAAGAGGATGCACGCACATGCCCAAATAACATGTGACTACCTTGTTATTTCTAAATTGATTCCATTTAGAAAGGGGCTTATTGCGAGGATATCCAAATACCATGTGACTACCTTGTTATTTCTAAATTTATTCCATTTAGAAAGGGGCTTATTGCGAGGCAAATGTAAATGCAGGCGGGAACTAGAGGAGATACTAGATGGAAAAGTTTGCTATTTAACCAAGCCCTGGGACGTGGAGGTGGGAACTGGAGGAGATACTAGATGGAAAAGTTTGCTATCTACACTTGGTGAATGAAGAGGTTTCTAGAAGTCTTGTCTCTCAGAGCCAGATATATAGCAGTATAACATCAATAACTATTGTATTTAAAAGGGATGATGAAGAGTAGTGATGGATGTAAACACCAGCTTTCTGGAGTTTCAGTGTCTCTTAAAGGGAAGTCAGAACATGAGCTGAGAGGCAACACATTAGCATATAACATCATCTGTGCTGCTTTTTCCTTCTAATGATGCCCCAGAGCACTCAATTTTTTTCTCAAATTGTTCTCTCTTAAGTTGCCTGCTGTCTTAAGAGAGAGAGAAAAAATCTCAAGAAGTATGGGATATGACAAAATAGGTAAATCAGAATGGTGAATATCAGCTGCCCCAACTCAGGGCCGATTTGATATACTGTAAATCACAATATAAATTTTTAAAAATTGATTTTTTAAAAAGATTTAACTCACCATTTTTTAAAAGCAAACATTTTTTAAAAAGAAACTAAATGAGTCACTTCTGCAAGTTAACATTTTAAAAATGGTTGTATGTGTTCTAGTGACTCTATATCATTTTCAGGAAACAAAAGTCTGGAACTTCTTAAATCCACAGACTAGCTTACTGAGTTCATGCCACTGTTCAGATATTTAGAATTTGTTAAAATAAAGTTAGGCTCACATGAGCCACTAGAGTGAGTTTGATAGATGAATGTGTGTAGCTGGATAGAAACCAGTTGTTGACTTTCCCTGAACTTTTGATGACTCTTACAGGGTTTCTTTTCTTTTGTGATATGCTAATAATATTCCAATATCTTATCCAAACAGCATTATAGTCCAGCTACTTTGATGCCTGGAATTTGTTTTTCTTACTTCTTTTCCTTTCTCCAAGAGTGGCTTATGTTCTTGACTGTGAATAATAGCCCTTTTCATGCCTAGTGTAGTGTTCAGGAAGGGATTTTATAAGTCTTACAAAGCTAAATAATTAAACCAGTGAGAGCTTCATTATCTTATTTTATATTCTCATCCTCTGTCTTATGCATCCATAGCTGGTTGGATAGTTCAGTGATTTATGTAACTGGCTATGGACCCAGAGTTTGAAAGTCTGATTCCCCACTGTGTTTCTTGGGAGAAGAGACAGCCGGTCTTGGGGCAAGCTGCACAGTCCTAGGTTGCCCCCCTCCCAGAAGAAGAGAATGGTAAACCACTTCTAAGTATTCTCTACCTGGAAAACCCTGAAAAGAGTTTCCATAGGTCAAAATT